TGGAAAGTGTTTTTTTGGATGTATCCGGGGCTTCCCTGCCTCTGTCTCATTCCGTAGGAATAGATGTATCTAAGAAACATTCCATGGGAATTATCATAGTCTAAATAATTCCCGAATTTGGAAGGAACTGAATTGAAACTGATCAAGTGACACAGTGTGATGAAGTCCAAGTGGGACGATGTCTAATTTTCATTGAAAATGTTTTATTTTCTTCTTCTGTGAATCACATGCTTACTTCCTTCTACTCCCTCCTATTGTTCCATACTGTTTTTTTTTTTTTTTTTTTTTTGTATATCAGTCATACTCAAATTACTCTCCAGGTTACTCTTGTGTGAATAGTGTGTCATCTGCTGTGCCCTGTCCCTGGTACAGAGGTAATACGCAGACCATACGGCGTGGTTTAGTTCTGCCCTAAAAACAGATGGAAAAAGAGACATAGAGGCCTTTTCACACTTTAAAAAAGAGCTTAGGAAACAGACACTATTAGAACACTCTTAACACTACCAGACATATTTGAGATGTTCTCAAATTTCAGAGAGGTACCTTTTTAAAAAAAAAAAAAAAAAGTGTTTTTTGTAGTGACTGCTTGGCAGAGCTGTTCAATGTAACTTTAAAGAAGTCAGCTGCTATAAGGGAACCAGAAGATATTTGTGCACTTTTATGAAGCTCGTGTAGAATAGTGGTCAAAAGCAGCAAGGCACTGTGTCCCTGGCAGGTGTTTCTATGATCATAGCCAAAAAACCCTTGAATCCTCTTCTGTCCCACTCCTCTCTGCCTGTCACTTTATTCCAATCATTCCTTTTGAGCAGCATGCTGAAATTACAAAAGTCATTTAACCAAAGAAAGTGATTTTTTCTTCCAGTTCTTTTCAACTTTGGCTATTCCCATGACTATCCAGACAACTCTGCCAGCACAGTGCAGGGCTGCCTGGACAGTTCATTTGATAAATGGGGTGTTCCTGGCTGAAGGACAAGTGAAAAGTAACATTAGAAACATAGAGTGATCGCAACTTCCAAAGAAACGATTGCTACATTCACATCCTTGTTAGCAGAATTATGTCCTTTTCTGTTTTAGCATTTGTAGCCATCCTCATTGCTGTTTCTAAGCCACATACTGAGGTTCTAAACTAGCTGTTAGGTTGCACCCAGAATATATTATATTCATAACATAATATTCTCTCCTTCATTTGTAGTACCCAGGGTTGTTTTACAGGTGCATGTACATTCAGTTGTTACTCATTCAATCACTGTCCAAAAAACCTCATGTTTCAGGTGAATCTCTTCCATGTCATACAATCAAGATTCTTTTTTTTCTTTCATGTTATTATACCTAAATATTGAGAATAATTATTTAATGTTAAACTTAAAAGCAAATTTATGTTTCAGTAACTAAACTAAACCTGTCTTGCTTCCTCTCCATAGTCTTATGTACTGCTTGGGCTCGTTATCGTTTTTCCACACTTCAGTCGATTCATTACATGGTGTAAAACCAAGATTGTTGGTGAGTAGCAATATTCATAAGGACCGTACAGATACACTGTAAATTATCAACATGTTATCCAAAAAACATAGTAATTCTCTTCTAGTCCCGTTTTCATTGTTGATATCCAGAACATCCTACTCTGCAGATGTATTGTTGTGCTTCCCAAACTGTTTTCCCTCTGCTTTCCTATTTTCTACATTTGTTACTTGATGTGGAGCTTCTCAAGAGGGTCCAGCACAGAGCAATGAAGATGATTAAGGGACTGGAGCATCTATTTTATGAGGAAAGACTCAGCCTGTTTAGCCTGGAGAAGATTTGAGAAGGCATCTCATCAACATGTACAAGTACCTGAGGGGAGAATGTAAAGAGAATGGGGCCAAACTCTTCTCTGTGGTAGCCAGTGACAGGACAAGGGCTAATGGGTATAAATTAAAACACAGGCAGTTCCATCTCCATGTGAGGAAGAACTTCTTTCCTGTGAGGGCGACAGAGCCCTGGCACAGGCTGCCCAGAGAGGCTGTGGAGTCTCCTTCTCTGGAGATCTTCCAAACCCCCCTGGATGCCACCCTGTGCCACGTGCTCTGGTTGTCCCTGCTGGAGCAGGGGGTTGGACTGGATGATCTCTAGAGGTCCTTCCAATCTCAGCCAGTCTGTGATCCTGTGATATGCGGTGTCTCCCCATGTTTTCCTTAATTTGTTACTGATCTGTATAAGGTACACAGAGTTTCTGTAAGCAAAACCTCTCTGTTTTCTCCTGAATATATGTGCACATATGTGATGGCTTACACCCACCTGTTCTTCCCCATTTAAAAGGTAACAAGAGCATTGAAGAATACAGAAAACTCACTGCCTAACTCTGTTTCTCCCCAGCAATACTGAATGTTCCCAGGTTCCCAAACTGAAAATCAACACAGTATCTGAGAGCACTTAACAAGCAGCAGTAGTGGTGTAGGCCAAGCACTTCTAGGGTAGTCTGTTTAGTCTGTTACTTCTGATCAGTTAATTACTGTGGTCTGAAGAAATGATTTCACGTGTGCTTCAAGTCAGCCTAAACCTGTGCTGCCTGTCATCATGCTCCTTGCAGTGTTGTCTTTCCACCTCTCATCCGTACCAAAAGTTGCACAACCACACCAACAGCTCATTAACTCTACCAGAAAGGAGGCTGCTGCTAAAATAAAGGAGAAAACGGTGTTAGGAAGGATTTTGTCCCACGCTTTGGCATCAACATGAATTGACCACACAACCACATCCAAGAGATTATGTCCTTGGAATTAGCACTGCACAAGTGAATCAGAAGAAAAACACATTTGTGTTTCTGTCTGCTACTCCTGTACTCTGTGTTTACTGCAAGTGGGTACACACTTTTGGCTCTGCCATGGGGCAGTAACATCTGGCAAGAAGGTAGATATGCTTTTGAAACGAGAGCCAGAGAATAAACTTGTACTAATATTGCCCGTGCTTGCTGCAACAGGTCACTGCAGTGTGTGAATCACCTTGTCAGAGGGCTAACAGTGCAGCAGAGAAGAAGAAAAGAGAGCACCTCCTGGTGCTCTGTCTGGAGCAGAGATCTTTGCTATTTGTTTTTGTTTTGTGAGTGCACTGCTAACAGATGCGATTACACTTGCTTGTGTTTAAATTCTGTACTTGCTCAACAGCCTGTAAAGCTTTCCCTTCATGGTGCAGCAGCACCATGTGCAGTGGCTGCCTGGGCAGCTCAGGGATGAGTTGCACATTTCCCTTTAACAGCTCCAGAGCCCCATCTCCTGGCCAAAGACTGGAGTTATTTCAAAACAGGTGGTTTGATTCACCCAGCACTGCCCTCCCCATGCAGTTCTGCACGCTGAGTGGATGAGATAGGCTCTTGGATGCTGCACAACAACTCAGGAAGCCCTGTTTTGCTTAGCTAAATATTTGGCTTAATTAAGCTCCCAGGGCATTACTGACTTGTAGAAACTGTCTGCCATGTACTTAAAGGACAGCTTTTTGTTCCTGAAGTGCTCATTGTCCCGAAAAGTAAAACAGACCTCGGGCAGAGGCACAGCTGCAGAAGCAGGTGTGTGACTAACCTGTGTGGATGAGTGGCAGCCTTGCTTCCACAGAAAATTTGCCCACGTGGAGAGAACGAGAAGGGATGATCACTTGTTTTCATTTTTAACTACCTTATTTTATACTTCCTGGTTCTTCTCCTTTCTTACTAACCATCCCGATCTCTTTTCCAGGTGAGAGAGATGAAGAGGAACACCATAGCTTAGAGACCTTCACTTTTTACCTCAGTGAGCCTCTGAGTAAGGAGCGAGTAGAGGCATTCAGTGATGGGGTCTACGCTATTGTAGCAACTCTGCTTATTCTGGACATATGGTAAGGCTTGTGCTGGCGCTCACATTTTGTGTTGCTAAATATATTATTATTGCGGGACTAGCAGCATTGTCTTTGACTTTTAGAGTTTGCAGTGGTTACCATAAGTACAATTCTGTAAAGTGTACAGAGCATGAAGAAAAGTCTTCTAAAATGCACATTTCATCACTAGCATACTAAGTGCATGTTGGGGTGGGATGAGGTACTTGGAAGCCTTGAAGAACAACACTTGCTTTATGGTTTGTATTTCCAAATAAATGGCATATATCAGTAAAAGATTTTCAGTCCTATTGGCAGCTCTATTATGCTAATTAAAAAGAAAGAAAATGAGTTAGGTTTTCTTTTAGATCCAGTTCATATTTAGAACATTTATTAGAAATGCTCTTTTTAACTTAGGTATTGGAGAAATACAAATAAAGTGGGTGCCTGTTCATTTGTACTAGATCAGATTAAAACAGCATAGTTCAGTGTTGCTCCAGGTCCGTCTTCTATCACTAACATGAAGAGTAAAGTAAGTTTTCTCTCCACAGTGAAGACAATGTCCCAGATCCCGGAGAAGTTAAGGAAAAGTTCCATGACAGTCTCCTTGAGGCTTTAAGTGAATATGGACCGAACTACCTTGCCTACTTCGGCTCTTTTGTAACAATTGGCCTTCTCTGGTTTGTCCACCACTCTCTCTTCCTTTATCTAACAAAGGCTACACGACTAATGGGACTGCTTAACATACTTTCGCTGGCTTTCATCGGGGGGCTCCCGCTGGCGTACCAGCTCACCAGTGAATTTGCAGAGAGATCTCACAATGAAATAGAAGCCATCCAGGTCAGCTGCGTTATCACCTTCTTTGCCAGTATATTTCAGTTTGCAATATGGACTACAGCCCTTCTCCATGAGAGAGAAACTCTGCATCCTTTCGCTAGATACGGTGGCAAGGAGCATGCCTTCATGTTTGCCAAGCTTGCTCTCTACCCTTGTGTGAGCCTGGGCACCTTCTTTCTGACGTGCTTGCTAAGTGAATTTAGCACAGCAATTTTCCATCTCATGCAGATTGTGATCCCGTTCGCTTTCCTTGCCTTGCGCATTTTTGTTAGAGTTTCCTTGGCTATCATAAAGTCTGTGATGTCTCTCTCCAGAAGGAAGGTTGTGTTGCTAGAGGAAGAGGAGGCATGTTTGTCTTCTGGTGAAATGCTGTCCTAAAATTTTCAATGCAGTGCAAGTGAAAATGTAACTTTACATAAACTTCAAACTATAAAGCATAAACTACATTAACTCAGTGTAATTATATGGATTATATTGATCTAAACTAAAGCTTGCATTGATCATAACTGGGGATACTTAAGTTTGGTAATGCTACGCCTTTCTCCGAAACATGCAATTGAAAAAAGTTGGATTTGTAGGAGAGAGAAAGAAAAGCGTATTTTCCTTTGTTTATAATTTCCTCTTTGGGGAAAAAAACTGCTGCTTGAAGTGTAACTGCAATGATGATCACTTCAGAAGCGTGCAAATAGATGCCCTGTTCCTGACTTCTGGAACTTCTCTGGCAGCTGAACACAGGCATGCTGCTCTGTGAAGAGCAAGTGAGGCTGAAGACATGAAGGAGAGCTCTGAATTTCAGCACAGTGAATTTGCACTTATGCAAACATTTTTGGGTTTTTTTTTTTTTTGGTTAAACTGTCTCTTCGGCAAAGCCACAGAATTACGGCATTACGGTAACATTTCAAAAGCAAGTAGCTTTTGAATGGCTCTGAGCATGAGTTTAGGTGGAAGTTGCAATTCAGACTGATGATGCAGTTTTCCAGGCTGCCTTAACATTTAATAATAAATGTTTTTAATAAAGGGGGATTCAGGTAGTTACATATCTGAGGTTTGAATTAGCTTTGTAATCAACCAGGGAAGAAACTTAACTGTGGGACCACCAGTAAATTTGTCCTCAGCTGTGAAACATGCTGCCCCTTTGAAAAGACAGAAATGGATTTCTCAGGATTTTTGTGTCTGTTCTGCCTGTTGAAGGGAACCTCCTTGAAAATGCTCTGCCTAAGTTTCGAGAGCCGCAGAGGTTCAGAGGCTTTCTGGACACCTCTTGAAGATTCCCCTTCAAGGCAGGGATTTTGAGGTTTTCTGAGGAGTTAATATAAGGAACACCTACAAGAGGTTTTGGCAAGAGAGTCAGAGGAACTAACCCATGAGGAGCTCTTGTCCCTGGAATACTGGGGTTTTTAGGCACGCATGCAACCACTCCAACTTTTCCCTGCGTATTGCTGAACAGAGGAGGTGTGCAAAGTCATCCAGGCTCTGGTTCCCTGGAAGGTTATGTGTTTGTTTTGGTCAGAGCCATTAGTTTTGTTTGTTCAATTGTCTTAGTGCCTGATATTTTTCTGCCATAGTCAGAGGTATTTGAGGGATTTTGTTTTTCCCTTTTAAAAAATCCTGTAGCAAAAGCAGCTCGAGTGACTGCTAATGGAAACAAAATTGAGGTTAGTGTCAGTCTAGATCAGTCTGAAAGCACTTTCAGTTTGAAGCACCTTGGCAAGCACATGTAACAGTTGGTGCAGTGTACTCTGTGTAAGAGATTGTCTTCAGATATTTTAAGAGTTTTATACCTGGTTGAAGCTGAAGGGGTGTGCACTGTGTTATGTGTTTCTGGGTTCTTGTGATATTTAATAAAAGCACTTTTGGTTCTATAAGATTTTGTTTCTAATGTGAATAAGTGCGGAATATGTGTATTTGTAATAAACTAAAATGAGTACAAAAATTCAAAGCCTCTAGCTCTTAAATTTGATATATGTAACAGAAAGCCAACCTAATGCTTACAATTAAAATAATGCTGGAGATGTCTTTTTTCCCATGAAAAAAAAAGAAATGCTGTTCCATCCCAGGACTGAGAATTAATAAAACTAAGCATATTTGCTCAACATGATTTGCTTCAGATAAAATATGAAAGTTCTTAGATGGTTTCTTGTTCTTCATTCCCATTCTAGTACCTCTTGCCAAAATAATTAGGTAAATTAAAACCAGCGGCATGCCAAGTGGAAGCTGGGGGCTTAAGGCTCAGGCTTGACCCAGTGTGAGAAAAAAAAAAAAAGTTAAATAGTGCTTTCATACTGAGATAATCAAAGTTGAAACATGAAAATATTTCTAATGTGCACATTTAAGGGGTACAAAAATGGTAATATTTTCATTGGATGTACCTAAATAAAAAGGGCCCTGAAAAGTAACCTGATCAAAGCTCTGCTGGAACAGTGAACTGTGTTGCATAAATACAAGAAGTGACGGTGTTGGCTGCAAAAGAGAATTTCCTTATTTCCTTTTTGTCTTTCTTCTTCCTTTCCACTTGCAAGGGCATTAGTAAAGCCTTCTGCAGAAAGAATGATTTTATATGTAACTAAGGCAGCATTATTCTAACCATTTTAATAGCTTATTTGGGAGCAGTACCTGCAGAAAGCAGTATGTCACCTTAGCTCAGTTGACAGCCTATCTGTTTGGGCTAAAATTCCGCTAGTTCAAGCCTGTAAGAACACAGCCGTGCAAACAGGCAAGGTGCTTAATTCCAGTGTTTGCACTTCTGCCTCTACACTACAGCATGGGAGGACAAAAACACTGGTGATCAAAAATGTCACCTCCTTAGATTACCAGATGCCTTTAAGATGAATTAAAATATTGAGTCTTAGTTTTTAAAAACGTGTGGGAGGATGTGAGCTTGTAGTCTGCTGGCCTATTTTCTGTGATAGACGAACAGTTTATTTTGGAGTATGATGATTCCTCACTGCTGAAGGAAATGTGATCAAATACTGACATGCAGTGCTGGATGGTCAAAGTATTTTCTAAGACATGGATAAAACCTCCAGTCATGAAATTAGGTTTCATTCATGCCATCCTGCTATATATATATATATATATAATGTGGCATTAATGTAAAATGCTTAATAAAACTAGAAGACAGTTTCGAGATGACAGCAGCCCAAACTTGTCAATACTAGGCATGAATAAGAGTCTGTACCCCAAATTTAGGATCTTCAAGACAATTTCTATTTTTAAAATACCAGTGCTCCTGATATTAAAGTTACAGCCCACTTGTGCAATAGCAAGAAAACTGCGTTTACTGGAAAGTCACGATAAGCAGGAAGATAAATAAATAAATAAATACAACAAGTTGCAATACTTTGGAAGTAGGGAGTATGGAATTCTAATTTTAGTGGTAAAACTCTCCCAAACTCTTTAATATGTTTACTTGCGCATATGTACTTTTTCCTTTTAAACATCAGAATTGGCTCTATTCCAGGTTCCCAGAGACTGTGCTAGAATATGATGAGATACCTGCAAGACAGTAGGTGTTACTGTGCCAAGACCTTTGTGTGAATCATATAGTTAATTAACTGTGTTCATGTTTCAAAATAAGGAATGGCAGCAGCGTTGTTCTTCAAGCACACCCCCCTAGCTGCCACTTTTCAAGAAGATGGGAGAAAACTTAGCATACTAATACTATGGCAGCAGATCAAATCAATGGCGTTATACTACGGCCCCAAGCGAGTTCTTCACAGTACACATCAACATCCAATTCAGTTTAGTAATTCCCTAGAAGATTTACTATGCCTAATCATTTTTGGATTTCGTGATGTTTTTGCATGTGTGCTTTGGCCTTCCATGAAAATAATCTAGAAGAATCTTGTAATGGACTTCTGAAGTGTAAAAAAAATTAAAATAACAGCTCTCCCAAGAAGGAATTGTGTATCCAGACACTTGAAACTAAATTTCTCCTGGAGTTTAGCAGCTTTAGACTTACCACTTAGCTTTTTCCCAAACCAATTTAAGAGCACCATGAAATTAATGGGTCCAGAGTCTTCCTTGGGCATGTATTCTAGCACTTCTACATGTTTTACCTAAATTAGAAGGAAAAGCCTTTCAATGAACAAATACCTTGTGATTCTTGAATTTATCTGTTACTTTATATTATCTGCTCTTACTTCCCCTGGTAAGAGGATGGGGAGTATCATTACCTAGTGAATACAGTTTTCTCAGTCATTTAAAGCTTTCAGCTTCATTCGTTTTGTAAAATACTTATTTTTATCTTTTAAAAGGAAGTTTCACACTGCAAAGAGATCATCTTTGAAAGATCCTGGAGAACGGGGGAGGTGCCGGAAGACTGGAAGAAGGCCAATGTCACGCCAGTCTTCAAAAAAGGCAAGAAGGAGGACAGGGATCCCTAGCATCAGCTGGCATGACTGTTCATGACACATCAGACATCTTGACCCAGACTGCATTCCTGAAGGAGGAGATGGTCTTCCAGGTCTTGAGCTGCAGGGAGCACCTGGTCCTTCTCTATAAGACTGAGATGGTAGCAATGATATCTTTATCCGTATGAGATGTGCTCTGCTCGAGTCATTGAGATACCATGTAAAGGAAAGGACTGAAAAAATGTTCTGTCCAGAAGACGGCCAGATTGCCTTGCCGCACACCAAAGATGATGTGGATGAGCAGGCTGCTCCCGGAGGCGCTGTGCAGGCGGAGCTGGCAGGTGCGCGCGCAGGACAGCATGACAAGGCGGCAGTTCCGCGAGGTGGGCAGCAGCAGCCAGGCTGCCTGCAGCAGGTGCCGGAACCAGCGCGCCGTCTTGTGTACATCCAGGAAGGAGCGGGTGCAGAGGGTGCACAGGAGGCAGGGGACGTGGCAGGCATCCGACGGTGCCGCGGGCTGGTGCAGGAGGCAGCGCGTGTCATCGAAGAGTTGCTGCCGCGCGCACACGCACTTCAGCTGCACACGCACACGGCCCTGCCACGGTGAGCACGGATGGTCATTGGCCGTCTCCAGCTGGAAAGCATGGCCAGGTGGCGGGAGCAGCGGCACCAGGAGGCTGTAGCTTCCATCCCCTGAGGCTCCCTCCACGTGGATACCCGGGCCCAGGCGTGGGAAGAAGGAGCCCAAGGTAAGCATGTGACAGGTGGAGAGCAGCTCGCCCAGCAGCTCCTTCAGCGCCTTGCAGGGGTCGGGCACGATCCACGTCGGGCGCTGGATCTGCTCCTGCTGCAGACACATCGTCTCCTGCCTCTCAACGGTGCTCTCCCACTCCTCCTCGTCCTCCCTGTCCTCCTCCTTCTCCTCCTCCCTATCCTGCTGCCTCTCTGCCCAGCTGCACTTTGGGCTCGGCGACTTCCCCGACTCACGGCACTGCTTCCTGGTCAGCCAGAGGTGACCCACGAGCAGTACGAGGGCTCCCAGCGGCTCCCAGAGTGGCCCCGAGTGGATGGCAGCAAAGAGCCACTGCTGGGCGTCAGCGCTGCCCTCCTCCCACTGCTGCAGTCCGAGGCCCTGCAGCTGTTCCAGCTCTCCCTGCAGGCGGGCCCTGGTGCGCGCG